TCTGATTCAGAACATGGGTCTGAACATGGGTCTGAACATGGGTCTGAACATGGGTCAGGGTGTTCTGAGGTTTGTTTGGTTTTCTTATCAGCTGTTGTTGTTGGGGCTCCTAACTGTTTCTGAGAGGACGGAAGTTGAAACATGTTTCCGTAGAGAACCTTGTTTGTTTGTTTGTTTGTTTGTTTGTTTAGGGTGTATGGATGATTTCTGTTTGGACCTGAAAGTTCTGATGAGTCTAATCACCTGAACAGGTGTGTCAGGAACAGAAGCGATGATTGTTTTTTTTTTAATCAGTGGCAGTTCAGCCCAGAAGTAACGTATTTATCATTTGAGTAAAATTATTATTTGATGATCTGTATCTGCCATTTGTTTAGATGTTTTCATGATTTTACATTTAAAAACAAAATGAATGAAAATGGATGGACAGATTGTTGGATGGATGAATTGTTGGATGGATGGATGATGAATGAATTGATGGATGAATGATTGGTTGAATAAATGGATCATTGGATGGATGGATCCCTGGATGAACGGATGGCGGATGAATTGTTGGATGGAAGATTTGGATAAATGAATTGTTGGATGGATGATTTGGATAAATGAATTGTTGGATGGATGATTTGGAGAAATGAATTGTTGGATGGATGGATTGTTGGATGAATTGTTGGTTGGATGAATGGATTGTTGCTTGAATGAAAAATGAATGGATAAATGATTAATTAATTATTGGATGGATGATTGGCTAAATTGATTGGATGAATGGTTGGATGGATGAATTGTTGGATGGATGGATGAATGGACAGATGAATGGTTGGATGGATGAATTGTTGGATGGTTGGCTGAATGGACGGATGAATGGTTGGAAACTTTTTAACTTGGAATTTTTTTAGTTTATTAATTGATTACAGTTAACAAAGCTCTTTTTGTTGTTGTTGTAATTCTTTTTTTTTTTAATTCACGGTTTCAAACAGTTTTTCTTCAGAATAAAACCTCGGGTGGATTTTAAAAGTCAGACTTCAGACTTTCATAAAAAAGTTGATTTGGGCAACAGAGCAGCAAAAGGTCCTGGTTCGAGTCCCGGGCTGGACCTGGGCTCTTTCTGTGTGGAGTTTTCATGTTCTTGTGCTTGAGCGGCTTTTCTCCGGAGACTCCGGTATTTTCACGGAGTCTCCAGTTCCCTCCCACAGCCCAGAAAGCTGCTTTCAGGCCCCTCCCCTAAAGAGGTTTGTCTGGTTAAATAAAGGGTAATTAAAAAATTAATCAAAATGGTCAACAACCATTTATATGACAATAAAATAAAATCTACTGATTTTTAGGTTTTTTTTTTTTTTTGGTTTTGATGTGCCCACCCATAAATTCAGTACCCCCCACCCACCCACCCACCCACAAAACACACACGGCCACCCCTATAAATAATCCTAGAGGTGCCACTGCAGCTGAGCGGTTCAACTTATTTATTTACATAAAATATGTTTGAAACTTTTTAGCACGCAAGGCAGCAGGCGATATGCATTCCTTCAATGAATTTAAAATAGTTTTACCAACAAATGTACCGTTTTTTAACCGATGCTGCGACCTCGGCTCTCATCGTTTAAACATTTAACTGTAAAAACATAAATTTATTTCCTCCTTCAGAGATAATCTGTATTTGCTCAGATCCATCATCCGCTTCCTGAGTAATGTTCTCGTTGTGAATGTTTTTAAATTGTTCTCATTATCGAGATCCGGTTGTCTTCTTACGGTTTTTGACCTGTAACTCCTTCTGCAGGTTAAGTTCTCAATCAGGTGTGGTGTGCTACCACTTTTTGGTTTTTGTAACTTTTATACTTTCTATTTACAAAAATGTTCCCCATTGAAATACATTGGGATCTCCTTGATTTCACCATAAATGTTGTTCACTAAAATCTGCTTCAGAATACTTTTGTCTTCTTGTGCTCCTGTAATCTTTATTCTTCCGTTTTGTTGATTTCTAGCTTTGACCTGTGGTTTAGCTAAACTTAGTTTTTAACTATAGTTTAGCTTATCTTAGTTTTCTTACTATACTTTAGCTTATCTGAGCTTTTAACTATACTTTAGCGTATCGTAGCTTTTAACTATACTTTAGCTTATCTGAGCTTTTAACTATACTTTAGCTTATCTGAGCTTAATTAAACTTTAGCTTATCTGAGCTTTTAGCTGTACTTTAGCTTATCTGAGCTTTTAACTATATTTTAGCTTATCTGAGCTTTTAACTATACTTTAGCTTATCTGAGCTTT